ATAAATACAATTTAATAATAAATAAATAATAAAGTTGAATTAAGGCAGTGTGTCAGTGTGACCAACATGTCAAGTTTACAAACAAGCACATAGCAATTATGACACTAAACACTACAGTAATTATTCGTAGAAGTCTAATGAAGATAAGCCTATCCAATAGTGACGTTAAAGGGTCGAAACCAGGACATAACTCCGACTTTAGATTGACAATGATTGAAAAATGTTAAATACAGGCACAATGTATACATCCTATGTACATAGTCAAGTTAGAATATGTAATTATGTATCAAATTGATATATTATTATTACTTTACTATTATTATTATTATTATCATATACATTAGGTATCACAAGTGATTTTTTTCTTATGTCTAGATATGTCTAATTCTATTTTATTCATAAAGAGACAAAAAAAAGAAATAAAATACTTTTTATTTGAAGCAAATCGGCTGAATACTTTTCATTTTATGAACAATTTTGTATTTTACTGAGATGAGGGACTTGCATAATTTCTTATATTATCAATTTTCTTATACTTTGACACATCACATAAACTAAATAAATGAGAATTTGTACTACAAATTGGGTTAAATGTGTTATATTTTATATTTATTGTCACATATCATTCACACCCGGTAAATATCAACCATTTTGAAAAATTACCATCTTGAAAATCACATTATGTACAACTATACAGACAGCATTGGCATCAAAATAAGCGTTTCAGCCATGTTTGTGACCCACGTACACCAAAAGTAACAAGTTACACACTGTTTCTTCTGTATTTTCTTCAAGCACTAGTTACAGGCTATACAGTTAATTTTTTTCAGTTACCACAGACTCTTAAATTTTGAGGTATGGGGGAATGAATATACAAAAATGAGCAAAAATGACCATTGTCCCAATACCCGAAATTGAAATTCTCACTAATTTAAATTTTGGTGCATTATTACCTTTATATAAACAATAATGAACATTATTATCATCATTTAAATGAAAATCAAGAATACCAACATCTTATCTGACCCAATCCCCACGCAACAGTAAAATTGGGTTCAGGACTGGCACTTGTTCAACCCCCGCTCCCCGTGCGACAGTAGAATTGGGCTCTGTACTGGCACCTGTTTATATACTATATACAACTCCCATCCCCTCCCCCGCCCTGCGCCTTTATATACGATCATTATAAACATAAGTACAACAGTTCAACCTGTTAGAAAATGGTACATTCCATTTTTCAATACAGTACTTAATTCGCCGTAGCTTAACAGGTCGTTCCATTATAATAAAACGGGTACCCTACCTTTTGAGTAGTTAATAATACATCGTCTAGGGCCTAGGCTAAATACACATTGTTCAAGTTAATTAATTCATTAAACTGTTAATCAAACAACTTAGCCTAGATACTGCTTTATATACTGGTGATTTAAATAGTTATTACATGGAATTGAGCCTTAGAATTGCACCTACTAGGCCCTACTAACACTAGATCGCTCCCGCGATCACATGGCTCACTGGTGGCAAGCTGTGTCGCAGTTGATGCCTCACCACTCAGGTCATGAACTTTCTGCTTGTTAAATCGCGCTTGCGCACTTCCCAAGAGGGGTTATATTTTCGATTTATGTATTAAATTGATGTTTATAAAATTACCTATACTAGGATGTAAAAATCTATTATTAATTTTGATTATAACTGTTTAAAATTTAGACGTAAACTTTAGAAACGCATTTTATATCGATTTCTAGCCCAGTACGAACAAAGATTTTTATACGGTTTTGAAGCTTACAACAACAGCTATCAAATGACGTCAGTTTTGTACATGAACTCTTGACCGGGAAAGCCGCTGGCGCGTTTAAAATAACTAGGCCCTCTGAAAATCCCTGCAGCGATGGGCCGACGCGAAACGAAACAGCGAAAAGTGTGCCGTACGGAATGAATGGTACGTGATACAAGTAAAATAACAACATTAAATGAGAAAGGAGACATTTATCTTTCTTTTGATATAAATTTTATTGAAAACAGTTAAGAATAATGGTAAGAAAAATAAAATTGAAAAAGAGCAATTTTCAATAATATAACCTCATTTCCAACAGTAAGCACATGGCTGTTGTCATACCTATATACATACAAATATATATTTGTATATTTTCTTATAAGTCATATAATTCAGCTTGTCAGACTCTCTTTAAGGCACAATGCTACACCACCTTCGTTAGACCCACTCTTAAATATGCCTCTGCCGCTTTGGCTCCTCACACACAAGCCAATATCAGTATACCTGTATATATACAGTATACACTTTTCACTTTTGTATTAACAAAATAACATTATTTAATTCAAGATTTGAAAAGGATGACATTTATCAATTGATGTTTTAAGAATTTCGCATGAAGGGCGATGCAAAAATGGATCCGTATTTGATGAATCGAGGCATTTTGTATGTTTTTTTTTTATCGTTTTGCGTATCATGTCGATATGCAGACATGGTTCCAAACTTCGGTCGGTCATAACAGAATTGTTTTAGGCAATGTGCAAAATCGTGGACATCATTATTTACGACAATTGTAGCCATCTTTTGGAAACTCTCCAACAGCCATGACTTGCTCCAGATAAGCTTCAAGAATTTTGTAATGGGACCGTTCGACACGTTTGTAGACCTGTACAGTCGCAAAGAATTATGTAAAATGGGCATAAAAGAATTCATGGTGATAAATTTCTATACTACTACTACTAGGCCTAGGCTAGGCCTTTATATAGGCCTACACACACTATATTAATTAGGCCTAGGCCTATGGGTGGGCATTCGCGAAGTTTAGATATGGATATTGATCGAAGCCTTACGTTATTTTTACTCTATGAAAGCAAACAAAAATAAAAGTGATATAGGCCTACCTATACCATTATCATTGAAACAAAAGTAATCATATTCATATATAATGTTTAAACTTACAATTTTCTAGCCATATTTTCTTGGTGAACAACAAAGCCCAGCAATCTTCGCGAGCTTTGAAAACAAATCTAGTGTTGACCTGGTGTTGACATGATCAACTGCCAATTGACGTACTGTGATTGGTCAGAAGTGTATGTTTAATTCTTAATTCGCATACTTTTGAGTTCTTAATATCACAATGTATGTCTACTGTAGTACAACTACATAGACACAATGGAATGCTATGTGGGACTTAGTCTAGAATACTTTAAATATTATTGGATTTTGTTTGTATATACATACAGTACTTTACAACAGGCTGCTTTTATTGCTATCCAAATATAGTATTTCACTGAAAGTGTCTCTTCTTAGTTAAAAAATGAATAATTAATATTAATATTTTAGTCGCTATCTGCTGTATTTTGAAATGTTGGCTTTCTTATTGTTTTCTTTAGATTTAATAGGATATTTTTAGGTACAGTAACCCATTCCTATAATCTTGCCCATTGATATTCTCTGTCTAAAACAGTGAATCAGGACTGATGTGCACATTGGTTTATTATTACTAAATTAAATGATAACCTTAGTAAGTAAAACATGAAAATCAAAACAGAAATTGTTTCAATCTGTATCAATAACCATTAGACAATGAAACCTTATTTTATACTTTTGCTAGTTGGAGAGTCTTTGCAAAGTAATTTTTTATTTATTTATTTTTTTTGCTTATTTGACAATCTGCCTGAATTTAGTGGTACACTTTGTGATGTTTTTGTAATGATCTGGAAAATAAATGAAATGACCATTGAGCAAATTATCTACAGTGCATCAACCATCTTCAAGTGTACCTTTGTGTTTATTTACATGTAATATATAAAAAACAATAAACAACATTACAAAGTAATAACAATAAATGAAGCATAAACTGACAATCTTCAACTCCTGGTCAAATACCTGAACAGTACATGATATTAAACAACAGGATACAGTCAATATGCTACAAGCACAATAAAGGTTCTAAATGATTTTTAGAATATTCTAGACATAGTTTCCACACTCAGCAGCTGAGCTACCGTACGAATGTGAGTGATGCAAATGACATTCCTCATTATAATGTCTATAGTCTGACAAATATGCATGTGTTATTTTTTACAAAAATATATTAGAATATAAAATGCTGTATTTCGTTTTCTGCTTCAGGTATAACAAAAATCACTTTATTAACAGTAATTGTGGTAAGTTAAGATACTGTTAACAGTAATTTATTGAGGAATAAATTGGACATTAATTACCCTGTAGTGTAAAATAGATTGATTCTGAGTTAGTCAGCCACACCTTATTGCGGTTTAGTCTCTAAATTCAATTAAGAATTCCAACTTGAATACAGTATTCCTTCTTAAAATCTAATCAATTATTTTACATAATTTTTAATGATTTAAATGATTGGTAATTTATGTAATTTACAAAAAAAAATGTAATAAAGGGCAATTTTTTCTTTTCTTATTTAGCAAATGGTTTTGCTGAAAACATCCAGATGGAAGAGAAAATGAAAATAAAATTTTATTGGTGAATATAAACAGTACAGTAATGGAATGGTTAAAGGCTTTAAATTTATATAATTATAAAGATACTGTACATATCTTATTTTTGGAGACTTCAAAGCAGCAGCGGGCATAATCTAATAAAGAAGAACGTTTACATTATTTCTGAAATTTCCATTTTTCGTGACTACGGGTGCTCTAATTGGCCAAAAATAAAATTTTATGTTTTTTCAAGATCATCATTATTGGTGGGTGGCAGGCTCGCTAAACGAGTTATAAAAAAAAGTCTCGCCTAAGAGAGAAAATAATTTCTATATAATTGTAAATGTAATCAATTTAAAAACCTTTATCATTAAAAGCTTTTGGCAGGGGTATGGTAAAGTATCACAAACTTTTGCTCCCATTGGAGACATCAAGACCCTCCCCCATCAGACAAATCCTGGTGCCACCATTGTGCAGAATACAAATTAAGATTATATAAATAAACATATTGATTTAATTTTTTTCAAAAATAACCACTATTAAACACTTACCTTTGCTTCTCCTAGTCCAAGTTCTAATTGCTCTAATGATTTCTCAATAATTGATGTCTTTTCTTCCATCATTAAATGTGTTTCTCCATTGTCTTTCTTAACAGCCCGTAAGGACTGGTAGAGACCGTTAAGTATACTATTATGTTCATTTTTTAGCTGGTCTAATCCTTGTATAACTTCCTTTGTGTCTGATATAATTTCATCCTGAGAAAGTTTTTTTGGCGTTTGCTGATCAGGCGTTGTTGGAGTAGACATCTTGAATGTTTTCTCTAGATTCAACCTACAGAGGGAATTGAATATTTTATTTATAATATATTGTACATATAACCTTTTATGCAATTTGAATAAATGTTGTTGAAATAACTATTATCATTATGATCCTGGATCTTTCCAGTCTGTTACATCCCCAAGTCAGCCCAGACACATCCTGGCACTATGGGGGCACAAATTTATGTTCCCGGCTCAATCCTTGCTACTGTAGTTACCTTGTCTTGGGGGGTGGGGGATTACACAATTGACAAGTGCATTCACTTGATTGTTTGTTTATTATTAGCATTTTATAATAACAAGTACTTCTATTTTAAAAGAGAAAAAACAAACTTGCATCACTATATTGGAGTTTTTCACAAGGCCATTTTTGCAAGAAGATACAAATAATATGATGAAACTTAAATATAAAAAAAAATCAAATTGAAATACATACTGTACAAAGAAAAGACAGACTAAAAAATGATGTCATGACAATGTAGAAAAAAAACTGTGTAAGAAGCACTGAATAATTGTACATGATTTGTGATGTCTGATTTTGATAACAGTAAAATACACAAGGTCTATATATAAAATAGCGCCGCACCCGGATTTTAAATTTCGGCGAATTAGTAATCAACAAGCCGAATATTTATTGTTCAAATAAGCCTAATATACTATTCAGCCCAAAATTATTACGACTGGCCTCTCTAGTCTAGACACATTCATTGATTTACAAGTTTCTCATCATGCATGATGAAAGATGATAAATATTGTTGATTCGATATCACCTTCACTGTTTGTAAGATAAGCTATTTAATAAACTACATCCAATACTACACCATCATTATGTAAGAAGCGGAACAGCAATGTTATACATTTACCTATAGTTTACAACCAGAATATTATAGAGAATTTTGTAAATAAAAGAGGCGTGACCGGCTTCGGACGTAAGCACAGGCCAACGTTGACGTAGCAGGCAAGTCTTGCTAGCAATCACTGCCACTGCTGGGGAGAGGTTGGAAGGTTCAGTCAGACGGCTTTGCCGCCCCACCTACAAAAAAGTTTCTTTAAAATGATAATTAGAATAGATAATACCTCTAAAAACTGGTTCTGCTGAAGTTAAACTCTCCTGTTAATTAATTCTACGACATGTTCTTTCTGTTCGTTACCTAAACATTCACAATTCTATCTATTCACAATCTTATCTTCCGTACCGCCTGTTCTCATCCAGTCTCTCGCCCAGTAGTGAAATATTATCTGCCCACAATGCATATGGGCAAAGATGGGCTTATTCGACTGGTTCATTTCGTTGACTACGATTTTTCGTTGAGTATCATTTTCATTCGATTGGTTCGTCGTAAAAAATACACTTAAAATTAACGTATAATAAACCAGACTGCGTTCATCAGCGTTAAGTTATCCACGTGACCAAAACAAACATGGCTGATTGGTCAGTTTAGAAATAACAGCGTTAATATAACTTAGATTAAATTTTAGAAAATAAAAATTATAATATTTACCAATATGAAGTCAAAAAATAATTGTAGGCTAACAGAATTCAAAAACTGGATGAAAACATTTTTTTTTTACGAAAAACCCATACTGCCACCAGGGAGTTGTTACAGTATTTAGAGAATAACAACTCCTTACCTTTAGCAAACGAAAGATAATATACCGTACCCTATCCCTAGCCACGGCAATTTTGTTTTGTCGAGTATATCAGGAAGTTGTTATATAACAACTATAACACTATAACAACTCCTTGAGTATATACAAGTTTTCTATTCGACTGGTCGTCTTCGTTTCAAGTAGGATTTTACCACTGCGCAGGTTGGCGTGGATTAACGAAGAACGACCAGTCGAATACGGCCAATATTGAGGGGGCGTACTTCTTCCTAAAATAACAATCAGCAATAGTTCTTTACTCGTTACACCTTCAATAAAAAATATCAGAATAATACGGATTTAGTTTCATTTATGTAGGTCTACTTTCTATAATATCAATTTTGCAATCTTTACTACAACCTATCATAATAGTAAGTAGGTAAATTTTAAATGTAGTTCTATGTAAATGAATCAAAAGCAAGATTGTATTCAATGTGTGTTAAGTAATGTTAAAGATCTATAATAGCCATTAGTATCATCTAAAAAAATGTTAAAATTGTATCAACTACTTGAAATGCTTAGCAACAGTTTTTTGAAGTCTTCGTGATCCTCAAATTATTATTAAATTATTTAACGCCTTGAGTACGGTCTGTTATCTCTCAAATCTGTAAGCACAGAATGAACAGATGCTGTCTGAATATGGATATTTCATACCCTTGGAGATTGGCTCTTCTTAATTTATGTTCTCTAAAAGTAGACTGGTTTTCATTATTATTGCATTTGCGGCAAAATGTTTATATAATCAGTATTCCGTTTCTGCCCTTCCTTTTACCAATATCATTAACCATCGTCAACTGGAACATGTTAAATTTGTGCATCACTGGTTGTACTGATTGATTTAAATATCACATTTTCAACCAGTTTCCGAGTGTCTGGGACACATTGCCTATTGATGTGCAAGATCACTTTGGTTAGTTTGTCTTCTTTTCTCAGAAATCTTATAAAGTTTATTCAATCTTAATTTTTAAACTTCAGTGAGATTGGCCGTAGTAAGTTGCAATTTTAACTTGTCCCCCTTGGCGGCGGAGAAAATTTGTATAGCAATTATGTTTACTTTTGTTTACTCCAGTCTCTGTCAAGGGTGTTTTGTTTTGTTTTGTTTTTGTTATATAATGTTTTTAAAATTGGACGAAATAAATGAAATAAAAAATGAAATGAAATGGAATGAAGTTGGGGGAAGCTGTCGTAAATGGAAGTCTCAGAAGGGAAGGTCGAAATGAAACACCGGATTTCAAGAAGCTTTGCGTCTATAAAACGAACACTCAAACGAACCCATTCCTCTTTTATACGTAAGGCCATCACAAAATGAAAATTATGAGATTTTTGGGGCATTTGGTTGTGATATTACCAATGGGACAAGACGGCGGAAGACTCGAGAAACAAATAGGCCTAGACCTACCCAAGTCACTTTTTTTTTTTTTTTTTTTTTTGCTTGTATTTTGTGTCTTGATCGTTGTATATTTTTCGTGCTTTTTTGCATGTAATGTCTCTTTTTAATATAGTATGATTTTTATAATCTTTATGTAAATAATTACTTTTCTGAATACAAATTTTATTTTTTGATGTTTTTAAAATTGAATGTTTATTTTTGTAAAATGTAGGCCTAAGCCTAATTTGATGTTTGCTGTGACAGTATGTTTTTGTTCTATATGTTGTTACACTATTGTGAATACCTTCGCAATTCAGCTTTGCTACAAAGATATATTTTTATAATGTGAAGTTTTATTAAATGAACCATTTATCCATCTATCCATCCAAAAAGAACACCCTGTGCTTATGTATACAGCCCGGTATACAAAACATACCGAAACATTCCGAGCCGTCAAACGACAATTAGTCAGGGTCGAAACTAAAAGACCGACGAAACGACCTGACACGGTAAATGCAATTTGTGCATCAGTACAGTTGTACTGATTGATTTAAATATCACATTTTCAACCAGTTTCCGAGAGTCTGGGACACTGTTGCCTATTGATGTGCAAGATCACTTTAGTTAGTTTGTCTTCTTTTCTCAGAAGTATCTTAAAAAGTTTATTCAATCTTAATTTTTAAACTTCAGTGAGATTGCGCCGTAGTAAGTTGCAATTTTAACTTGTCCCCCTGCCTTGGCGGCGGAGAAAATTTGTATAGCAATTATGTTTACTTTTTTTTACTCCAGTCTCTGTCAAGGGTGTTTTGTTTTGTTTTGTTTTTGTTATATAATGTTTTTAAAATTGGACGAAATAAATGAAATAAAAAATGAAATGAAATGGAATGAAGTTGGGGGAAGCTGTGGTAAATGGAAGTCTCAGAAGGGGAGGTCGAAATGAAACACTGGATTTCAAGAAGCTTTGCGTCTATAAAACGAACACTCAAATGAAGACCCATTTTATACGTAACGCCATCACAAAATGAAAATTATGAGATTTTTTGAGCATTTGGTTGTGATATTACCAATGGGACAAGACGGTGGAAGACTCGAGAAACAAATAGGCCTAGACCTACACAAGTCACTTTTTTTTTCTTTTTTTTTTGCTTGTATTTTGTGTCTTGATCGTTGTATATTTTTCGTGCTTTTTTGCATGTAATGTCTCTTTTTAATATAGTATGATTTTTATAATCTTGATGTAAATAATTACTTTTCTGAATACAAATTTTATTTTTTGATTTGTTGAATGTTTATTTTTGTAAAATGTAGGCCTAGGCCTAAGCCTAATTTGATGTTTTCTGTGATCTTTTGTATGTTATTGTTCTATATATTGTTACACTATTGTGAATACCTTCGCAATTCAGCTTTGCTACAAAGATATATTTTTATTTTTATTTATTTTTATGTGAATTTTTATTTAGTGAACCATTTATCTATCTATCCATGGCATCCAAAAAACGAACACCCTTGTGCTTATGTATGTATCCCAGCCCGGTATACAGGCTCCGACAAGACCATACGTCCGAAAAATTCCGAGCCGCTGAAGAGCGAACGACGATTAGTCAGGGCCGAAACTAAAAGACCGACGAAACGGCCTGACACGGTATAAATGCAATCGAACATGACGATGAACATGAACAATGTGTTATAGTACGGATAGGGCCTAGGCAATGTAAGTTATTTTAGAAAGTAGTGTGGATCCAGTATTATATTATAATTTGATATATAAGCAATAAATGCGGCTAGGTGACAAGGTCCCTATGCCTTTTGCTAAATAAATGAGGTAGGTGTTTCTAGGCCTCAGGTAACTTTGTTAGCGACGGACGTAGCCGCAGAAGCTTCCTCGAGCTGGGTGATCGCCCCATTGAGAGGAAGTGATCTTTGCAAGTAGCTGAGTTGATTTATACAATCGAATGTTTTATAATAAACTTTATTTCCCTTTTATGGGTATTATAAGTTCCGTATATCTATAAACCTTAGCAGTACGAGTATTTAAATGAAGTTTACTGACTTTTGCACTTCATGAATCAATCGTTGAGTGCCATTTGTTGATGTTGAACAGCGCCCTCTATACTTGGAAAGTTTGTAATGTAAAAGGTTTGTAATGTTATTTTTTCCTTTATTGATATAAGGACAGGGTTGTAGCTGTAGAAAATTAAGAGTGGGTAATAAATCAACATCTATTCTTAAGGGTGGGTAAGGGATAACATTAGTAAACTCTAAATGGTCAGGATGGTAAAGTGGGTTAATAAGGGTTGGTGGAGGGCCATGAAATTAGCTTTAGACAGGGTGGAAAATTTCAAGGCTGGGTGGCTCCGCCCAGCATAACTATATCCACATAAGGCAAAACTTTTTTCATACCACGTTTAGCGAACCTGCCGTCCACCAATAATGACGTTTTTATTTTTAGCCAATTATCGCACCCATCGCCACGAAAAAATGGAAATTTCAGAGAAAAAAAATATTTTTATTACGCCACTTCTTAACGATATTATCGTTAAGAAGTGGAATTCCCAGTCCGCGACTGATGATATGCATTCTGAATATTAATTCTATACTTTTTTGTTTATTTTTTAAATTTTAGGAGCAGAGAGGGGTATATAAACGAAGTGAAATTAGAACTACTCAAGGTCATATGCTAATGAGATCCAAGTTACAGCCAAACTTTAGGTACAGTCAACACTTATTTATAACAAGGGATCAGAGGTACAGTAGCCCATCTAAGCAGGCATCTGATTCAGACTTCAAGTGATCTTCAAAGTATATATTTGATAGTACTTTCAATATGGGGTTGAAGGTTATAAGTCTGCATTACCAGATTTTGAGGAGATACAGCAAAACATATTACAAACAGTGTATATTGTTTACCAGACATAGTCAAAGTTACTTATCTACCAATATGCCAAACTCCTTGCCTGCAAATCGAAGTACATTCTCTAGAATTTACAGTTCTGAAGCTAATCAACATTTCGCTAAGCCTATCATTTTTGTCCATACCGGTACCTCAAGATGTTTGCAGTATTCTACCAGTACAACTGAGAACAAAAAGGCTATAAGAAAAGGTAAAGTTGGAATAGGGATGTTGTATGAACACATGGAAGAACCAGACACTTATTTATCCTATGATGACTGGATGAAGATAAAATTGATTTGGGATGATGAAAATCGACTGAACATTAAGATAGGTAAGTCATTGTTTGTGGAGAATGCAATGGCTATTATTTGTAGGAAGAAACACTGGCAGCTTGCAAACTCATTGTATGACTTTGCTATTCAATGCGATTTTAAATTCACCCAGTCGTTTATGAACAGTTATTTGCATATATGTGTCACTGCAGAAAAACGTGATGAGGTATTAAAGATTTATAGGTGGTTTGTGGAGAATGGCAACCTTTTTGGTGCAGCTGTTTTAAAGAATATCATAAATGGTCTGTGTTTGACCGACCATTGGAAAGACTCTATAAAGTTATTGCATTCAGCAAAGGGAACACCACAGTTTTCCAACACCGCTTTTAATTCCTTAGTCTGTGCCGCATGCTTCCACAAGGATTACGATCTTGTGGAAGATCTCTTTGGAGAGATGATTGCTGAAGATATACCCATTTCTGATAAAACCATTGTTGCATTGCTGAATGCTTATGATGGAATCACAGACAATATAGATTGGTCAGTGTCTTGTAAAAATATGGTGGAGAAAATCCTGTTGTTATTCAGGAACAAGAGAACACTGCCCTCTATGGCTGTTGCAGAAGCTTTACAAGAGTGGTTTAGAAGGTTGGTGAAACTTTTTTTAATTTTACATTGTTATGATTTATCTAAAACCATCATAAGTACATAAAAATATGAACATGGACACACCAAAACCTAAATTATTTTTTGTGGGAGGCCTTTCAAAATCAAGAAAGAATATAGAAATAGACCAGTATATACGATCTATTTCAACTTACTTATTTCAATAAAACGTAATCAGTGATTGCACCATACAAAAGTAATTATAATATTTGTTTATTAACATGTAGTGTTCTGTTTGTTTCCAGAGTATCCTTTGAGCAATGGGACACAAAGATTATCAACATAGACAACAAACACAACTGTCCACGGTGTCAATCACCTTTGGAGACATTGGAATTGAGTGATGCTGAATTTAAAAATCTTCATAATGAAGTGATTGCAAAAGTAGGTTATATCTGCTTACTTGGAAGCAGATTACTATGATGGTATTGGTACCATTATTAAAACACTAATCTATCAATCAATTTAGAGATGAATATCTGCCTTGATGTCGCATACTGTATCCGTTTCCCAATCCATCTCTCGCATATTCTTGTGCAGTGCCATCTGTGTCACATGTCTGTCACATGTTATCTCTGCACTTTGTCGCAATAAGTCATCTCTGTACATGTCATCTCTGTCCACATCGTCTTTGTCACATGTCTGTCCAATGCTATATCTGTCACTTGCTGTGTCTGTCTCGCACCATCTCTGTCACATGCCATCTCTGTCCTATGTCTTTCTGTCGCATCTCTGACCCATGCCATCTCTGTAACATAATAATAATAATAGTGTAGTTTTATATAGCGCACAAATCCATCTAATGTAAAATGCTCAGGGCGCTTGAAATGTGGACTAGGAACTCGATCAATGACTTTCTTCTTTCATGTACATGTCTCTGTACCATAAAGTCCTGTCCCTACCATCATTGTCAAACTCGTGTCTTATGCAGTTTCTGTCTCCCAATTCCAGGCCATCTCGGTTCCATGCTATCTCTGTTCCATGCTATCTCTGTTCCATGCTATCTCTGTTCCACGCTATCTCTGTTCCATGCTATCTCTGTTCCATGCCATCTCTGTCATTTGATACCACCTTTCACAAACTCTGTCTTTGATGACACAAGCATTTGCTAATATAAAACTTGTTCTGGTTTGTCGCAGGTAATTCATGGTACCGACATTTTCAGAAAAACCTCACCAAAGGAACTAAAAGCATTCATGAAGTTTGTGGATGAAGGTGCCCCATATGATGTTGTTGTAGATGGCCTGAACGTTGCACTCGTTCAATTTAATAAAACACTACGCCCATCTAAACTGGTATGTGTTTAATATTTCCTTAAGAAAACCAATATATTATAAGAATTCCATTCCAACAAATTTGAAACCCTATCATTAAGGAACAAAACAAATATAAAATTTACAATAATATAACTGTTTATTTGATATTTGTTTCTTCCTTCTTTAGCTCCTAATTGTTGTCAAACACTTGGTGGATAATTGTGGATACAAATGTCTGGTACTTGGACGGCGTCACATGATAAAACATTGGAGCAAGTCCGACATGCAGGCACTTACGGATTGTGCTGATTGTTTCTTCACTGAAGACGTGTAAGTTAAAATAACTTAAGCCTGTATGTTTGCTAAGTAATGAAACTAGTTAATTAACAGTTGAATAAATTCACCAACCCTGCTAAAAGTCAATACAGTTGATACAGACTGAGAAAATGTGTGCGACACCACCATTAATAGAAAAACTCCTCCCTTTAGCATGCTATATATCTTGGGCGTGTCACAGGCCTCTGCCCTGTCTGTTTTTCTTCCATGGTCTTAAATCATTTTCATCAGTGTGTTACAGGTACTAGGCCTAGATTGTCAGACCATAGAGAAAATAGTCAGACTAAGATATTCCCCAAGCTTCTCAGCGTCTGTAAAAACCGGTCTATGTTTATTTACATTCATTTTTATAAATATGTATATTTTGAGCAAGTGAGCGCCCTCAATTTTGTTACCAGGGAGTGCTTGTTTGCGTTTCAATACTCAAAGCGGCTTAGCAGAGTAGCTTTAGTAAGACCGTCTAAGTGATAAAGCCAGCTTTATTTGAGGAGTTAAAGACTACCAGTTAAGACCGTTTTATATCAGTCCAACCCAGATATATTCTAGGTGAAGTTAAGTACTCTCTTTTTATGTATAGCAGTGAATGGAGGAGGTTCCGCAAGATTGATTCTGTTAATTAATGTTCATTAAAAAAGTTTGAGACGTCCTTCCACCTTTTAAAGAGAACTCAAGTTCTATTATCATTTCTTTTCTTTGTATGTAGAACTGAGGATGATCCTTTTATGTTATACGCTTCTCTGCATAGTGGACCACAGGCAGTGTTTGTCACCCGTGACATGTTCCGTGATCACAAGGCTCTCCTAGATTATGATACGCATGTAGCTTTTGTCAAGTGGCAACGTAGTCATCAACTTTCATTTATCAACTTCAAGAAAGGACGACCACTTTTCAAGGTTAGTTTGTGGAATCGACAAAGTACGCTCAACTTTTAGCTTGTTTAATAATTGATTGATTTTGCTCTACCCATCGTGCAGTCGTTTTTTTTTAATTTACATTTTAAAATCATTGTATTGTCTATGAATATATTTTTATGTTTGTTTTGTAGGCTTGTCGAGTTGAAGATACCATTACACAGACCACAGGGGACACCTGGCATATACCGGTTGATGATGGAATCAACCAATTTGCTTACCAGTTACCAACCACCTGGCTTTGTGCCAAAAGAAATATCTTAAATTAGAATTTAGTTGCCAACAGGGCCACCAAGAGCGACCCAGAAGCCCCCAACAGTTGGGTTCCAAAGGCAGAACCTTTGGGGCGAAGCCGCCAAAAACTATGGACTTTTATGCATATATTAGATGCTTAATTTAAACCAATACGGCCATATTGGATCTCATCGTTTTGTCTCGATCCAGTCCCACCCTCTCAGCACTCGGTGCTGGTAGTTGCAAATTATACAATTTTAATACAATAACTTTTCAAAAACATGTTCAATAAATCTGATGCCTGGGAGGTTGCTTTCCAAGCCAGCTGCGGTGAATGCATTGGGGGAGGGGTGCAGACGGTGCTAAATTGTAAAAATAATTGCTGTATTGTATTATTGATATATTATTTTTATCACTAAAAATATAGTACGGGTATGATTTTATGTGTAAGAAATATGTGAAATTTCCGAGCACCTTGAGGTCCATATTCTCAAATTGTTTCACCTCAGCCACAACCATGGTGGGTATGAAGTGGTGTGGATTATCACAAACCCCCTACTGCCAAATTCTGCATCTGCCGGACCCCAGTGTACTGTATTTTGTACAGTAAATTTCTGGGATCGTTTACAGAGCTCTTTAGGTTACTATGGACCAAGGAGGGACCGACTGGTAACTTGTTTATTAGAATATGATCTCTGTTGAGCTATCCACTTAAAAACTATCCAATGAATAACCACATAGTACAGTAAAAGGTATGTAAATCAATGAATACTGCATTTTTATAAATTTGTTTAATTGGTTGATAACTTATTTAATCCTCTTAAGCAAGAAATTCAGGATTATTTAAGGGAACTGTATATTTTTTAGATGGTTTGATTCAAATGAATTTAATTACAATAAATATATAAGAACACAGAAGAAACTTCGAATCCCATGCTTTTATTAATTTTATACAAGTATCTCAAAATAGCTTAGTATATACAGTATTTTACTTAAGTCTGAAAAATTAATTTTTTAAGAAAAAAATGTATTGTCCTGGTTTTTCAAATATATATTCTGACCTCAGCCTAGTTTGGTGGAGTAATGAATACACACACATGTAAACCTTAAAGTGGGTTCCAGTTGAGGACACAACACTAGAATGCATTTAACCCTTTATTTGCCTGAAATACTAACCATAGATTTAAATACTGTACAAATTACATTACATGAGGGGCGGGGGAGGGCAACTGCCCCCTGCTCCCCCACCATTGCCCGAGTATGTGCAAATTTAGAGAAAGCAGTTTTAAATTACACATTTGAATACTTTGATATTATATATAATTTATATAGATACAGCATTTAATGCTTGACTAAATTTTGGCAAAATTAAAAGTATGAATGTAAATTTATTTAGTGGCAGTTATTTTACTGTTGTGGTTTGAAAACTATTTGTTTTTTTTTTTAATTCATAAAGTTAAATAAAATAGTTGTATAAATATTAATATTATATGACAACCAGCAAAGCTGAATTTTGGTGACCTCTGTGTTCTGTAATGAAGTCTGCGAAGCCTAGGGAATGGACATGGACCAAACACCCTGGGCTTGGAATACTTAACATTAATTATCGAAGTTATATCTAAAAATATTGATAAAAAAAAAACATATGATGTATATATTTATTTGTACAAAGCAAATAGATTGTGAGGGAAATCTATATTCAAACTATATTCATCTAATTCCCAAGCCAGGCTGTGTATAACCAAATTTATAAAACAAATTACTTAAAAATATACAAACACACACAATGACCTTAAATATTTAAGTACGTAGATTGCCATAAGTAGTTGAAGATTACCATCTGAAATGCCTTAGTAAATACAAAATTTCATAAATTTATTGAAGGTATAGAAGTATATTCGAAACTTGGATAGAAGCCATGAATCAATTTTACTTGCTTAAGCACATATCTAGTGGGTACTGACACCTGCCTGTCAACTGAGCTACTCTGCTAAGATATAATTAGTCTATTTTCATGAGACTCTTTCTGAGTCAGTCAGTATACGATAAAGCTGTTTACATAACTAGCATAACATTACCTATTACAGCATCTACTATTGTTTTAAAAAGTGGGACGAGTGCAGTATAACATTAAACACATGGAAAAAAAAACCCAATAAATTACATTTTTTCATTCAATGTTAAATACACAAATGAAACTATAGTAAAAATGTCAAAGTGCAATGGGGAGATGTTAAGTTAGATCATAAAAATAAAAAAAGCAAGTTTTATTAAATATATTACACATAAATGCAGGTGGTAATAACAATAATTTACTTTATAAAAAGTATTTAAAATACAATATTTTAAACTAGTTATAAAATCAACCAGCTAATTATTACTGTTAACATTATCCTGTTAAATAATACACTTAAAATCAATCAGTTAAACCCAGTTAAATGATATACTGTTTTACCAGATACAGTAAATACTAAACCACAAGAATAATAAAATTAAAATAAACCAGTTAAATATATTTTAACACTAGTTTTATTAAATAAATGCAGGTGGTAATAACGATAATTAACTTTATAAAAAGTATTTAAAATACAATATTTTAAAGTAGATATATAATAAACCAGCTAATTATTACTGTTAACACTATCCTGTTAAATAATACACCTAAAATCAATCAGTTAAACCCAGTTAAATGATATACTGTTTTACCAGATACAGTAAATACTAAACCATGAGAATAATAAAATTAAAAATAAACCAGTTAAATATATTTTAACACGCAAAAAAGTATGTAACCCAATAGAATTGTACATACAGTAAATATTAGGCCAGATATTACACAAAGTCAAATTTTTAATAACAATATCTTCGGAATAATTACTACTACAAATTTGCTTGTTTCTAGTGTAATTGGTTGATAAAATAATAAATAATGAATGTACTGTAATAGGAATATATACACTGTTTTAGCATGGTAATTACCCCTAAGACCCACTGAAAAGCATAAAAACCAAACTCCAAGGAACATTATTCAAAATCGGTAAATATATAAAGTCTTAAATTCATTATTACAATTTAATGATAATTCTGAAATACTTACAGAATTAATGGTTACGTTTAAGCTTCTTGTTCTAAAACTATGGGTTGTGATCCAAATTTGGGTGTCCAAATACTTTTCTCAAGGTTGCCAGATTACTCTTGACCAAAATACTTAATAGGATAAAAATAGTCAAAAAATTGAAAAGTTGTGCTTTTTGACCTAAGGTTAAGTAAAAAAAAATAGTTTCTCATCCTAATATTTTGAAAAAAAAGGAGAATGAGCACACTTTTTAAATAAAGGAAATAAAAAAATAAAAATTTGGGGAAGAGAAAAATGGATGCGCAAGGGGAAGATGTAAACCTTTTTTTTTTAAGCAAGTAGGCCTTTGAAAACATACAGTTCCATACTGCAATACGAATGTCAATAGCATCAAAAATTACTGTATAAATTAAAATGTTGGGTCTAAATAATATTACTCTGATAAAAATGGATCTGATAGCCAGTCTCAAACCCAGTTCCAACCAAAGTGTGCTGGTTATTAATTGCCTTCAATCCTTCAATATTTTACTGCTTAGAATGCAGTTCATTTAACGATAAAGGCCTATACACCAATGCCTGATTTTGCGAAAATACTTTTTATAGCTTGAAATATCTAGCTTTCCAATTAAGGCTCTTTGTGAAGCACTTTCAAAGTATGAGATTACTATTTTGAGGTATCTACAGGCAGTATGCTTAATGGTTGGCCTCTGATGGGTGCAGACTTTCAGGATTGCAGCATCACAACAACTGCCAGCTATGCAATATAAGCCTTGGGTTGTCTCAAGATTGAGGATCTGAAAATAATTCGCAACCTGAAAGAGGTGTTGAACCAGGTGTTTAAACATCAAACCTTATTTGGTCCAATCATGGGTTCTGAAGCTGCAGTATCTGGTTTCTTATGCATTCTAGATTTAGCATATATCTTAAGAAACAAAGCAATGAAGACTATACAGATTCCAAGAAAGCCGAGGAATGATACAGGATGTCCATAGATCATGCACGACAACAGGATCGCGAGACCTTGTCTTGTTGTCATGATGATTGTAAATATCACAGCGCCAAACTGAGATATCGTGTAGAATATAAACAATTGGCCCGTAGCGGAGCATATTGATAGCAAGAGGACATGGTACGCGAATGTACTGTATTTTAGTATGAATCCGGAGGCTTCAAGGAAACCGCCCTGTTCTATTAAAGACCAACTCGTGAATATGCACGAGAAGAGGTTAACGCCAAACATTGCTTGTATACTAGACATCTTATGCTTACTGAAAAGCTCCGCTTGCCAATTAGATGTGAAGCTATCGAACACCATGTACCCCATTAGAATCACGACTCCGGAGGCTGTCGTTACAGCAGAGCCTTTGCTTTCCCCTCCTTGAGACAGCAGAAAGATTGTCACCCCCACCGAGATCATTCCTGCAGTGATGTATTCATAGAACTCGTATGTCTTATTTGAGACAACTTTTCCCATCAACATTACTGGAATGATTTTCGATGCTTTTGCCAGGACTTGCGTCGGAAAACTAACAAATTTCAACGCCTCATACTGACACCAGCTACTCATAATGTTGGAGAGGGAGCAGTAGGAATAGCGGTAGAGGGGCGTGGTATGACGTGGTTGCCATGTGAATGTCATGATCAGAAATGCGGTCAACAGTGCCAGGATACGGTTCATAAAGACAAGGAATTGCGAGTTCTTGAACTTCTCCCCAGGATTGTTGTCGTCTTTACCATATTCGTGCGCCATGATTCTTTCTTGAAGCACGCCCCACGTTAAGTATGATCCTTGTAATCCGGCAACACAAAGCAGTAGTGTGATCGCTCGTGGAATCTAAATCATTAAATAAATTAATTTAAATAAGTACATAAAAAAATAAAAATAATTATATAAATTAATATGTGTGGCCACATCTTAAAGTTTTTTTTAAACTTATTGTGGTCTCCATCCACATAGATTTTTTGAATATGTTTGATCATGTATATGTTTGTTTTTGTTCATTATGTGGAAAATAAATAAATCAATCAATCAATCAATCAATATAAATCATTTATAAATGAATACAAATTATTATATAAATGAACACAAATATATTTTCACTACTTTATCGAGGAAACAGCCACCAGACAGGGTAATGTTATTACTTTTAATTTGATTGCCGAGTTTACTATTGCTATATTTTTTATTTCTCATCTAACAAATACAATTCAATCTGTTGTCAATGTACTGTATATACAGTTGGTAATGTTTAGTTGATAGAGCGAACATGAATGCTAACATTGGAAAATCCGATTTGTCATAAATTCTATTAGCAATCTATTTGTTGATCAACTAATCGGTTTTACTGAATAAAATTGAATGACGATTTCTTGATAGACTGACTGGTACAATTGATTGATCAATTTTGTTGGGTTTAATTTTTTGCACTCTTTTGATAATTGCTTGTTTGTTTTTTGTGTAGGGGGTACATACCGACAGAAATTGTTTCCTTCTGTGTGCTCCTTGGTCACTTCTTTTGTATTATGAGAGAATTACCAAAGAAATGTTTATTTAATTGAATTAACTACAAGTGACTTGCCTCTCTGATATTTAAGCATGATATACACTAAAGCAACTTAGATGCATTATGCTAATGCAATCATTACTATTATGTCTATGCCAGAGTCAACACTGTTGATTTTCAGTGCGAGCCACTAAAATTGTTCGGTAGCTCTCGAGCTGACAGAGCTAGCAAGCGAAAAGGACCAAGAATATGAAAATCTAGTATTTTACATCAAGTAGCTTTAAATTGCACATTTTATTATTATTTTCTTTTTTTTAGTATTTATTTTGGGCACAAAGGCTAATGATACCCAAAACAGCGAAAATCAAATCATAAAGCAATCCATTCAAAAAGGTAAACACACAAAATGCTCTACGTAGACCAATGATGTGTGATGGTGTGAAAACGATGCAAGGCTTAGGAGTGCAGTAAATTTGATGTGCTACACTAGGGCTACAGTGTTTTCACTACATTTGTTAGACAATGTATTTGTCCCAGACTTATTCGGAAAGGATCCCCGATTCGACTGACCAGTTAGCGTTGTCGGTAATAACGCGTAGTGATTTTATAGAAGCCTGGCTTTCATAGTATATTATATATTATACTATATACAGTTGAACTTGCCTAAGTCGAATCCAAAATGCCATTGAAAAATTGTTTGACTTAGATAAAATTTGACTTCCAGATTGTTAATTAATGGAGAAAACAACAATTTGGCATGTAAAATGAGTTCGACTTAGAAATTATTTGAGTTAGGCCAAGTCGACTCAGGCAAGTTTAACTGTATTATCAAGATGAACTTGCCCTTGGTTTTGCAGATGATTGTCCCCCAGCATCCAAGTTTACATCAGCTTCTGCACCCTCTACACATGACTTAATGACACTGTAGACACAACCATGACCTGCAAGATAAGTATTAATCAGCATCATTGTATACCATCCATCATACCACCCAATGAAGCCAATGATAAATTAAAACTAGAGCGGACACTCAATAAAATGCATATCTCTACCATAACACTTTACTAAAGTAATTTTTTGATTTTTCATGACCCTGATCCAAAATTGAATAACCCCTTTCTTAGATAAATAATATGTACCGTACCACTCCACTAAATTTTATGATGATCATTGGTTTTTGTGTAATCTTGCTAGCAAACACACACAGGAGCAGATTTAGGGGGGAAGGGGGGGTGCCATGCCGCCCCCCACCCCACTTTTGGAAGGATATTTTCGGGCGTCTAGAAAACAAATAATTTGGACCCCCTAGCGTAGCATTGTCTCGATCGGCTCCACTTTCGGCCTCCCCTTTTGGACATCTCTGGATCCGCCCCATTACACAGACAGACAAACGATGGTGAATACATGACCTCTGGCAGAGGGGCAATTAGGATATTTGTGTAAAACTATTCCTGAAGCTTTGTAATGGAGTTCTGTTGATAATCACGGTAATGTTGAAGAGTCAAAAAAGAATAAAAAAGAAAAAATTGATTACCCAAAAGGCCACAGAGGTTATTTTTGGGCGTCTAAGAACACAGAAATTTCGCAGGGCATCCCCCCGGATCCCCTAGAGTATTGTTATCTCGATCGGCCCCACTTTCGGCTCCGTCTTCCAGCCCCCCACCCCCACCTGTTGATTTACATAACAGTGGTGGTAGAAAAGCTGTGATGTTGACAAAATAGTAACTAAGACGGTTATGATAATGACATAATAAAGATCAAAAGGACGATTAATATGGTAACTGTACAACTTTACATAATCCATTCATCCTCCTCATCACCACCAGCGTTGGTTCAAGAAATTTGCCGACAAGGGTCTGACATGTCCAATGAAGAGGTCCCAACCAAGGGTTCGACTAGAGCCTAAGTCGGGGTCCTGGAATAAAAAATCCCTTCAGGGTTCATGGGGAGAGTTTTTATGGTTTAGTATGGTCCAACTTGTGCTTTTAGACTATGAAGGACTGGCAATCAAAATAAAGTTATTTGGATAGGCAAATTATTATTTTAAAAATTTTTGATCCAAGACTATGAAGGACTGGCAATCAAAATAAAGTTATTTGGATAGGCAAATTATTATTTAAAAAATTTTTGATCCAACAAGCTCAATGTGGCGTCGAACAACGGGGTGGGGGGGGGTGGGGGTGTCCAGCCCTCTCCGATGGGAGGGCAAATGCACCTCCCTGCTGGCGCCACCACTGTTCATCACCATCCATCAACTCCTAATTTGTTGCTGCCCGTGCTAACCTCCTTTTTCTAGGTATCCACTTGAGCGAATGTACTTGATCACAATCCAGGCTGGAAAAATCACTGAAGCGTAGCCAACAATATTGAAGAACAATCGCACCACCCAGAAGTCTGTCCACTGATCCTTGGTTTGATTCACCTCCGACTTACCGACCTCATCCACTGCAGCTATGAGTCCGTGGCAGTTCGATGCAAATGTCAATACAAACAGAGTACATAAAAAACATGTCAGGTTCATTTTCTGAAGAAAAAAAATGCAACAAAATAATGGTTTTGGTAAATAACTAGATGATAACACCCCGCCACTAAAAGTTGTTGGACCCGGGAAGGGCAGGATTGGATACGAGGGATTTTGAGGAGGCTTAAGTGGCTGTTTTGTTGTGTTGCCCAAGCATGACCAATAACAAATCTCAAAATGTGCCCAAACCTACCCACAGGTACTTTAATTGGAGTGCGCCCTCATTAATCATAAAGAAATACAGCATTTCAACCTGTTTTATCCTTAAAATGACGCTAATAAACGAAAATAACGAATGATACAACAGCTAGGTATTTGCAATTCAACAATGAACCAATGTACAAGGTACTTAACAAGGCTGGCCTATGCCTAGGCTAGTTCCACAACTAGGCCTAGCTAGCCTGTGAAGCTGCAACGACACACACAACTCATGTCCTGTGCCATGGTTGTTTGTAGGCCAGGCCAGACCTACCAATCTAGGCCTATGGCAGACTAGGCCTATGCCTAGATAAAACTACGTTTTATTGCTTATGGCAATACAAATATAAACTTAAAAGTAAGGCTGGTAATCATGATAAAAAGAAGTCGTACAGTGTTTGTGAATTCATTAAAAATCAAACCTTTACCTGCATTTGTCAACTATCCTCCTGCTCTGAAGTGAATGAAGTGTACAAAGTGTACACGTAGCAACAACACAGTGTGAGCTCGAGCGACTCGAGCGCGCGAGCCAATAACCTCTTCATTACTGTAGGCCTACTAACCAATCCAGTTGAGAGTATACTAGGTCTAAGTATATAAGTATATAAAACAAACAATTAATTCACCCACAGTTAGTTAGGGTATAATATAACTCAATGTATATATTTGCTTTTTTACGTTCATTTAAATATAACATGGTTCAATTGCTTCTAATATGTCTACAACTCATAGCTGTTTTATATTGCTGTCTTT